GCTGCACGGGCGGTGATGTAGAATCGGTGGGCGGGGCTAAACAGGCAGTGATGGAGAATCGGTGGGCGGGGCTGCACTGGCGGTGATGTTGATCATCTTCTGCAGGGGCGGGGTTTATCCACACTATTACATCATAGAGTAGAAAATTCCACAAGCTTTGGTTTTGTCAGACTGCCTTCAATATCAGCTGTTTTTAGACAGTTTTGAGTTCTGAAACATACAGGATGTTTTTATAGTACAGTGACCTCTTATATGTCAAAAGATCCAGGAAATTTTTATTTCTCAGTTCATGACCCCTTTAAAGGTACCTATTATGCAAAATTCACTTTTACATGTTGTACATAAATGTGTGTTGGCAGTGTGTGTACACAACCACCCTATAATGATAAAAGAATCGGTGGGTGGGGCTAAACAGGCAGTGATGGAGAATCGGTGGGCGGGGCTGCACTGGCGGTGATGTTGATCATCTTCTGCAGGGGCGGGGTTTATCCACACTATTACATCATAGAGTAGAAAATTCCACAAGCTTTGGTTTTGTCAGACTGCCTTCAATATCAGCTGTTTTTAGACAGTTTTGAGTTCTGAAACGTACAGGATGTTTTTATAGTACAGTGACCTCTTATATGTCAAAAGATCCAGGAAATTTTGATTTCTCAGTTCATGACCCCTTTAAAGGTACCTATTATGCAAAATTCACTTTTACATGTTGTACATAAATGTGTGTTAGCAGTGTGTGTACACAACCACCCTATAATGATAAAAATCCACCCGCTCCTTTTTTTTCAATCTCTATAAATCATGAGCAGTGTCTCAGGGACACCTGAGATTTATAATACATCTTGTAAAAAGGGGCATAATAGGTGCCCTTTAAATTATATGCCCTTTAAACTCTTTTTATAGAGTTAAAGAATGAATATAATTCACAAACCTTTGCTTTCTCTCTGTTAACAGGTCTAGAATTAGACGAGATGGTTTTTCAGAACCAGTACAAACCAGAATATTTCAGAATCCAGCCAGTTTAGTCCGACTCAAACAGGAGCCCAGTGATGGAGAGATGGAGGATGCAGATCTGCAGAGAGAAGAGCACAGTCACGTCTCCGTCGCTGTACAGAGCCTGAAGAGAGAGAAAGATGAAGATCTTTCTGAGCTGTGAGTTCAAGGAGGACTTTCTCAGGAACATCATGAGATCATCTCTCTGCTTGAGCTCTAAATGTGACCAGAACACAATGTCAGTCGTTCTCGGGTCTTTATTTTATTCAGATTTTTTGATCATGATTTATTTCATAATTTAATTTAATTTAGACCTAAACCCTGATTGGTCTTTTTTTTTTTTTTTTTTTGTATGACTGAAGAAAAATAGTTGGTTGTATATTTGTTTGATAACTACTTATGCAAGTTCATTTAAATTCAGTTTGGTAAGAAGACTAAATGGTAAACAATGATATGAAGGTTTGCTAATAAAGTCCCTTTTTGGTGACTTAAGTTGTTCTGATGCATCAACACTGAAATTAAAATGAACACTGTGTCTTCTGATGATATTGATGAGACATGCGATCAGATCTTGAGGTAGTTTGGAATGGGAATCTAATGCTTTCATGCAGTTTTAATGAAAATCCTAGATAAGATCAGAGATATTGCAGTTATTAAGTCTCTGTGGTCGACGAGATTGTAAAATCATTCATTAATCCTATAAATCATGAGCAGTGTCTCAGGGACACCTGAGATTTATAATACATCTTGTAAAAAGGGGCATAATAGGTGCCCTTTAAATTATATGCCCTTTAAACTCTTTTTATAGAGTTAAAGAATGAATATAATTCACAAACCTTTGCTTTCTCTCTGTTAACAGGTCTAGAATTAGACGAGATGGTTTTTCAGAACCAGTACAAACCAGAATATTTCAGAATCCAGCCAGTTTAGTCCGACTCAAACAGGAGCCCAGTGATGGAGAGATGGAGGATGCAGATCTGCAGAGAGAAGAGCACAGTCACGTCTCCGTCGCTGTACAGAGCCTGAAGAGAGAGAAAGATGAAGATCTTTCTGAGCTGTGAGTTCAAGGAGGACTTTCTCAGGAACATCATGAGATCATCTCTCTGCTTGAGCTCTAAATGTGACCAGAACACAATGTCAGTCGTTCTCGGGTCTTTATTTTATTCAGATTTTTTGATCATGATTTATTTCAAAATTGAATTTAATGGAGAACTAAACCCTGATTGGCCAGATTGGTTTTTTTTTTTTTTTTTTTTTTTTGTATGACTGAAGAAAAATAGTTGGTTGTATATTTGTTTGATAACTACTTATGCAAGTTCATTTAAATTCAGTTTGGTAAGAAGACTAAATGGTAAACAATGATATGAAGGTTTGCTAATAAAGTCCCTTTTTGGTGACTTAAGTTGAAGTCTGAATCTTATTTTTGCTTTCATTTGTATTTATTTTGTTCCAATTATGTTGCTGAAAAAAGGCTTTTAAATTAGTAAATATAATAATATAGTAATTAAAAAAAATATATATATATACATGTGTATTAATTAAGAATTATTTATAATTTTAAAATGTACATGTATGCTTCTATCCTTTTTATTAATGCTCAAACAATTGCAAAAAGGAACATTGCCAAGGGATTAAAAAATACATCAAATAATTACCAACAATAGATACATTCCACATACAGTAATGAACACACACACACACACAACATAACAAATTGAGAAGAGCTACAAATAAACAAAAACAAACAAACAAACAAAAAAGAATGACAATACTATGAGATAAAAGCCAACAAAATCATCTGTATCCAAACTCCCCTAAAGCCAAAACACGTGACGCGCTCGGCCGCTGCGCTTGTGGTGTCTAAAGTACCTGAAAGCCATACTCAAGCAAAAGTACCAGAAAATGACTTTTTGAACAGCACTTTTTGCAGTGTGAAGGTACAGTAACATTTTTATTTTCAGACTTTATATTTCGAGACAATATCCCTTAAATTTTCTTGGTCTTAAATCTACCTGCAGAAACTGTTAATAATCTATTATACTTATTTTTTTTAAGTTATATGTATTTAATATTTATTTCATTGTTAATAATAACAATGGATGTTGTTGTGAAATGCTTGTTACTTTCTTCTGCTTCCCGTTTTTTGTGAGACAGCATGCAATGCAATGATAAATGAAGCTGAAGTGTGTTACATTGTCACATCTGATTATGTTGCATGCTTATTGTCTTTTTTAACCTCTCCTCTCTTGCAGACTTTCTTTCTTTCTTCGAGCGTCTTCTCGACACACAGACAGACCGATCCAGATCCAGAATCAAGTCTTCACTAGATTATTTTCGTTACAGTTAACGTTATAGTGTTTGTGGTGTAAACGGACTTTGTCAGCGGTGAATCTCAGACTTCCTGTTCCTGTGTGCCGCAGACGTCTCTGCCGGACGGGGAGAATAACATGGAGTCGGGCTGTTAGCAGCGCTGCGCGAAAACCGATCTCTTGTCCGAGTCCAGCTGGGAACAGATCGAACAGCAGGAAGCAGAGGTGAGCGGATCAGACGATCAACACAGTTAAAGGGGTCATCGGATGCAAAATTCACTTTACATGCTGTTTGAACATAAATGTGTGTTGCATTACACATCCACTCTATAATGATAAAAATCCACCCAGTTTTTTTTTTTTTAAATCCCTATTTTAAAATCCCCTTTCTCAAATCAGGCTGTTCTGAGAGTCCTGTCAGAATGACGTAGTTCTGCACAGGCCCCTCCCACGATAGTTGATTGACAGGTCCGTCTTACCTTAGCTCCGCCCTGAGTGAGCTGTCATCAGTCCGCCATTGTGTCGACTCCAGTGCAGGGGAAGACAAGAACATCTCACACATTGAGGTGTTTTGTTGCTGGATGTAATAATGAACA